GGGCGGATGCTCAGGGCGGCTCCCCCGGGACCACTCCGGGGCGCAGGACAGCCCGGTGGGTTCCTGCGGTGTTTCCGTGCGGGTGCTGGGGGGTGCAGGCTCTCCTCCCCCAGCCCTGCGCTGCGTGGGGTCACGCTGCTCCGCTGCTCCCCCCAGGATTAACGGGGCCCTTACCTTGGCCCTGAGCTCATCGGCCACCGAGAGCTGTGCTTGATGTGGTCTCTCTGGGTGGTAAAACTTGCATTTATTGCCGTAGGTGCATTTTTTACCTGAAAGAATCAAAAAAAAAATCAAACAGGAGGTTGTCACAAGCACCCATGTCGATTAACATGCTCGTCACTTCTCCCCAGCGCTGCGCGTTTGCAAGGGTGGGGTGAGGACTAACAGCAAAGAAGGGAAGTGCCATTTTCTAATTCAGTGGTTTTGGCTCCAGATTTAAATATTCCTGACCTAAACAGCAGGGTGAAGCAGCAGTGAAAGGAAGGTTCTGCTATTTTTGGAAGTGTTTGAAATTCATCTATGTTCTGGTCGCTGCACTCAGTGGGCTGGGAGACCTACTACCACTACACCAAGTTGCTCTAAACCTCATCCAACCTCACCTTGAACACTTCCAGGGATCGGGCATCCACAGCTTCTCTGGGCAACCTGTTCCAGTGCCTCACCACCCTCATTGTAAAAAATTTCTGCTTTAGATCTAATTTAAATCTGCCTTCTTTCAGTTTAAAGCCATTGCCCCTCATCCTGCCACTACATGTCCTTACAAAAAGTCCCTCTCCAGCTTTCCTGTAGGCCCCCTTTAAGTACTGGAAGGCTGCAATAAGATCACCCCGGAGCCTTCTCTTCTCCAGACTCAACAACCTCAGCTGTCTCAGCCTGTCTTCATAGGAGAGGTGCTCCAGCCCTCGGATCATCTTTGTGGCCCTCGTGTGGATTCACTCCATCTCCTCCACGTCCTTCTTGTGTTGGGGGCCCTAGAACCGAACGCAGCATTTCAGGTGTCTCGTGAGAGGAGAGTAGAGGGGCAGAATCACCTCCCTGGAGCTGCTGTCCATGTTTAAGATGAAGGAGCCATAAACAGCTGCTGCCTTTGCTGATGCTGAAGCCGCTTAATCAGGAGAGGAAAAAAGCTTCACCTGTTTGAGCAGCCCAGAGCTAAGTCTCTACCACATGAAGCAGGACAGCACGTAGCAACCACGCTTGCCCCTAGCTGAAGGAAAGCGCCGCTGGGAAGCAAGGGGCAGAAGGAAGAGGGGCAGTAGTTCACAGCACGGGGAGAAACCCACCATAGGGGCAAGGCTGCCATTTTGGTTCAGGAAGCACTGGGTTTTTGCTGAGGAAGTTATTAAGAGTTGGTCCATGCCGGCCTAACGGATCATCAGGAGGCATAAACCTGGAAAAGGAAAAAGTCACAGGGGTAACAAAAATACCTCCAGCTTTTGGAGCTAAAATGCCATCACTGCTTGTGGCACAAGCTTAGGGCAGAAAACCCTTGTGATCCTTTTGTAGCCTGACCTTCAGGAATCAGGCTGAGCTATGAGACACAGTGCCTTCCTGCCTGCCAACCCAATACTTCAGCTTCATGTAGTTGTGTTTTCCTAATAACTTAAAACAACTGGGAACACGTGGTGGCTTGGCATAGCTCTGGTCAGACGGCAGCCCCAGCTGTTACAGCATTGCTTCCTTCTTCTCTGAAGCAGCAGCAGCGAACTCTTCTGTGGTCCCAGCACTGCAATTCTCACCGGCGGCTCCCTTCCACAGCAAACTCACTTTTCTCTTACTAAATACTTGTAGGAGAATGAGGATTAAAAAGCCAGCAGTTATTTCAGAGCTACACCTGATCAGGCGCATGGTGTGATAAACAAGCCCAGGCTTTTTCAAGGATTCAGTAAAGGCTTCCTGCTACAAGGCCCACAAAAATGCTCAGGCAAAAACTCTTTACTCTTCCATGCCAGTACCTGAATGGGATGCTTGAGGAAGAAAACTAACCAGCATCTCCGGGCTCATTTGCAAATGAATCTGCAGTGCACCCACGCGTGGAACAACTCTCTGTCCACGAAGGCGGGAGGCAAAAGGAATTTGTTCATCTGCACCCACTGAGGCACCACCAGGGATTTGTTCATCTGCATAATGGGACTGAAACCTCCAACTTCAGACTGTGGTTTTTGAAAGGTTCCCAAAGCTGTGCAAGAAAGTCTCACTGAAACTATTCAAACAAGCTTCAGAATAACAGCTAGACTTTCTGAGGGCAGGGTTCTGAAAAGGCCAGGCAATCCCTACATGTAGGAAGGAAAATCTCATATAAATGTTTGTAACCAGTAAGTAACTAGGGAAGAAGCCTGGTGGTATTTGGAGATAATGAACTGGAGCTTCGAGATATAAGGTATGCTGATGTTCAGCGACTGCGTTTCTGTGAACAACGTTACAGGGAAACTGAAACCCAGTGCCAAGAGCTCCCATCCAATTTTGGTGGTGGGAGAGACAAGTCTCCATCCTGACCCACGGACACTGCTGCTGCGTGAGGCGACTTCCCTGCTCGCGCCCATCCATGCACACTGGATGTCTCCAGGTGTGTTTCGCCAGCCAAACTGGTGGCTAAAGAACACCTCTGCTAGTAGGAAACTCAGACAAGGTCAGCATGTACAGACTGAGGAGCACAGCTCAGCCTCACAGGCACGGTGCAAGTGCCTTAATGGAAACCTTCCACAATGGGGATAGCTAAGGGGGCAGAGAGGCCAGCTTTTCATCTCTCTTCTAGGAAGTTATGATTAGAAAAGTATAGGAAAAAGGGCTGTTGTGCCTTATAGGGGAATTAAAAATACTGCCAGATAGCCAGCCTCCTCTCACTGATTTAATTCTGTTATTCTGCTACAAAATAGAAATCAAAATATAGCAGGCCTTGGGTTAACATCCCAGTTTGGATTGGAAAGAAGCAAAACTGACCACTGATGTTGCCTTTCAAATAGAGAAGTTCGTTGAAGGTGACATGGGGGGTTTAAGACCAAAGCTGAGGGAGCAGAAACTAAAGAAATGAGATAAGAAAACCTGCGGTAAGTTCTTTTCAGAAAAAGGCTCACGTACTCTGCTACGGGTGGGAGGAGCATTGATGTTGGAGCTGGCTGGGGCCATAATGTGTAAATTCAAACCGTTTAACAACAGCTGCCTCTTACCTGTTACTGACAAAAGAGTACATGAGTAGTCGCTGCTCAATAAACCATTTCCACTCGGGGTTTTCATTCTGGAGATCCCGGTAATGGTCATTGGAAACAATGACTCCGTCTTTCTCATAAGCAACTTTCACGATATAGCGATCATCATAGCAAACCACCCTCTTGCCTTTCACCTTCCGGGATGGGGTGTACACAAGGATCGATTGCTTTTCAAGCTCTTCAAGAATGTGCTGATCTGGTGGGGACATTGGCAGAAATAGAAGGGAAAAAAGAGCTTAAAACGGAGAGACTGATTCATTAATAATGACCAGGTCTCAATTGTGTGCATGTTTAGGAATCTAAAGATGTTTCAGCACTTTAGGCAAGTTACGGTGGTGTGATTTTCAGACTCAATGATATCCGGTGGTTATTTGGCAACTTGAAAATTAGGTCTTTTACAAAAGCACCTGCTTGTAAAATTTGAGACCCTCTTTTTTTAAGTCTTACCTGTGAAAAGATGGCTTGAATTCTACACCAGAGGCATACTGAAACCCTGTGGTTCCCTTTTACCCCACTAGATGCTAGAAGGCTCATAACCAGCCCCGATATGAAACTTACTTGGAGATAAAATGTGCCTGATAAAATAAATGAATAAACAAACAAACACAAGTCTTTGGCTGCCATTGAGGACACTCTGACTTCTTGTCGTTCCTGCTGTGCAGAAAGGCGGATCCCCAGCTGCCTCATCTGCAGCCGCTAAGCTGCTGGCACAAATCTGGCACATCTGTTTCCATACAAACTAAGTCTCACCACCCTCCACGGATTCCAGCTGATGCACTTCCTTCTCCTGGAAGAGGAACCCGTGTAGCTCCTCTATCAGGGTAATAGGCTAACAGATAATAGTCACGCAGTAGCGAACATTTCAGATACTGCTGCCTTTGGATAATGTATGCAATGATGTCGTCATCTCCTGGCTGGCCGTAAAAGCTCTGCAGACTCATTGTGAGCTGATAAACTCCTTGTTTAACTAACTCGGCTGGCAGCAGCTTGTGCTTGTACAGCAGAGGGCTCAAAGCAGCATAACAAAGCCTTGTGAGCAGTTTTAGCTGCGAGCCAGGAGTGTGCAGCAATAAATTAATGACTTCTTTAAGTCATGGAAACCTGATACAGAACTTGCACTGTGCTTGTCTTTATGGGGCAAAACTGCACTGGAGTCTTCACATCCCCTGTCTCCAAACTCCACCTAATGGTTGCCATGTTATGCCCGTGTTATACCTACCTGCAATGGGACAGTCTTGTCGAGGGGGCTCCTTTCTCCAGAGTGGGACAAAAACCTTGATGTACGTGTGCCCCCTCTCTCGAAACCAATCCACCGCCAGCTGGATCCCCCAGCAGGAGAACACCTCTTTGTTTCCGTGGCTGTAAAAAAGAGGAGGATGGTGAGGCAAAGCTTTCAGGAAGCTTCCAGTTCTCTTCAACTGAATCAGTAGTGAAAAGGCAAAACAAACAACTTTTTACTTTTGTGTCTTTCACTAGTTTCCAAGAAAGCAACCTGGCAGGGTGTCCTGCTTGGACAGACTCAAACACCACCTCCAGCAGAACCTGAAACTTGTTATCTGAAGCAGTCTAGACACTTAAAAATAGAGGTATCCCATCTCCGACATCTAGGACCTGCCTGCTACCCAAGCCTGTTGCTGCCATCTGTATCTGATGGACTTGGGTCCTAAAGTACCAGCAAGATCTTAGTCTGTGTCAGATTCTTCAAGTGCCTTGTCTGGTAATGGTTTGAGGAGGGAGAATGTCTTCCATCAGGAACAGAAACCCCAGAAGCTCTCCCATGAGAAACAAAATGTGAGGATTATGCTTCTGTGGTAAGAGTGATGTTAAAGATTTTAACGGCTGAAGTGGCTGCAAGTTTGACCTCAGGTCATTCAGCTGCCAGCCTCTTTTGGAAACAGGAGTCAAACCATGGGAGAAAGAAAACTGTAAGAAGCAGGATGGGAAATGTGGAGGGCACCAGAAAAGGGACAAGACCTCAGTGGAGATGGCCAAAGACACTTCAAATCCATCTTTTTCTTGCCCTAATTGGCCAATTTTGTCTTTGTTGCACAGAGAGGCAGGAAAGCCCTAGAATAGTGCTGTAGCAAAGGCAGGCAAGGTGAGTTCCGGAGAATTATTGATATTCAGAGCAAGACACAGAAAACAACCTCAAGAAAAACAATTAGAGGTGATATATCCTTCATAAGTTCTGCCCGCCTCCCCCCCCACCCTTGAAAGTTCTTATTGCTTGTCATTCTTTTATCTAAACTTTTACTACAGTGTAGTGCATGTGCAAAGAAAGGTAATTTGTTAACTACCTCTGCACAAGGAAACAAAAATAAACTCTACACAAAGGTCCTAAAACAGATAAATGTTCTCACAGTATCTACAGAAATCTCATCCTTGTACTTTGAGCTTTCTGGATAATATCACCTCAATGTCACTCACACTTTTACCTCTGCAAAACGTACCTGCAAACAACTCTCTCAGTTACTACACGTACCTGCAGTGACGGACCAGGTGAGGACGATGCCACAGTCTTAAATGCCTCTTCCTCCACCGCCCCCCCCAATACCCCCCGGTCCCCGGAATTCCTGTCTAGGTTTTGCCTACGTCAGTCTCATAACCAAAGCTCCATTTTACACCTAATAAAAGTTTCAGTGCTGGAATGGTGACCACAAACGAGAAATAGTACAATTTGGATGAAGAAACTTTTTTTTTTTATTAATAGATACCCAGGCAATAGAAAGTCTTAAAAAAAAAAAAAAAAATCCCACCAATAATAAATGATCTGAAGTGCTTGACAGATCTAATCTCCATTCTAGAACGGCTGTTTTGTTTGGGTTTAAAGGATAGGATCTACCCAGGATACAAGCATAAAGTCACCTAGACAGATGAACTGAAAGTTCAGAGGACTTTTTCAGATAACTGCCTTTAAAAGGAAGCCTAGCTACATCTTTAATGCTACGATTCAAAGTTCAACAACAACCTACCTTAACATTGACTACTCATATATATAACCCTGTTAGCTTTAGGAAAACAATTTCGGACGTACCTCCAGTGCAGAAGGTAAAACATTCAAGCAAAAGTGATTTTCGGCCAAAAGGACACGCAGAACAAGTGAGAGGAGGCACTTGGAACAGTTTCTCAGCATTAGCACTTACTCCAGTTGCTGCTACATCGCTACAGCCAGACCTGGGGAACGTGTATCTAAAGTAGTAGGTACAGGCACAGTGTGCTGCAGTTTCAGTGCAACTGAACACCAATGTCTGCCGTGCAATGGAGCGGGGGCTTTAAAGCTTTACGTTCTCCTACGTGGTGAATTTGTGTTGCCTGGCTCCTATCAGTCACCTTCCCCAGGCACCCCCATAGCTCACAGACTGTAACTGAGTCCCATCTCTCTCCCTCCTGCCAGCAGCAGGGTACATCGCACTTAGGTGACAGATCAGCAGGGCCCACCTGTCAGAAGCCAAAGCAGAAATTTTGCCTGGCTGTGACTCCATAATTAGCATGAAGTGGTTCCTTTTTCAACTGTACAATTCCGACCCCTTTGAGGAGTTTAGTCAAAACAATTTCTTTTGAAAACTGCGAATGGCGCCATCTCCACCTGGTTGTGACACAGCTTTGGCTGCTGGCCTAGGAAAAGACCTCTGTACCTATTGTAGCTTATAACTAGGCGTAAGTGCAAGCAGTAGACTAGGAAGCCTCTTTGGTGTGCAGTGAATAGAGTTATGCCAGGTCCTTTTTAATATTTATTGCATCATTTAGGTTTGAAGAGACCTTTAAAATCGAGTCCAACTGTAAACCTAACACTGCCAAGTCCACTGTTAAACCATGTCCCTAAGCGCCACATATACACATCTTTTAAATACCTCCAGGGATGGTGACTCAACCACTTCCCTGGGCAGCCTGTTCCACTGCTTGACTGTCCTCATCATAAAATTTCTCCATGTATCCTGTCAGAACCTCTCATTTTGCAACTTGAGGCCATTTCCTCTCATCCTGTTAATTGTTAATTGGGAGAAAAGACCAATACCCACCTCACTACAACCTCCTTTCAGGTAGTTGTAGAGCACAATAAGGTCTCCCCTCAGCCTCCTTTTCTCCAGATTAAACAACCCCAGTTCCCTCAGCCGCTCCTCATAAGACTTGTGCTGTAGACCCTTCACCAGCTTCGTTGCCCTTCTTTGGACGTGCTCCAGCACCTCAATGTCTCTCTTGTAGTGAGAGGCCCAAAACTGAAAACAGTGTTTGAGGTGCAGCCTCACCAGGGGGACAATCAATTCCCTAGTCCTGCTGCCCACACTATTTCTGATACAAGCCAGGATGCTATTGGCCTTCTTAGCCAACTGGCCACACTGCCGGCTCATACTCAGCCAACTGTCAACCAACGTACCCAGGTCCTTTTCTGCCAGCCACTCCTCCCCAAGCCTGTAGCGTTGCATGGAGTTGTGGTGACCCAAGTGCAGGTCCCAACACTTAGCCTTGTTGAACCTCATACAGTTGGCCACGACCCATTGACCCAGCCTGTCCAGATCCCTCTGTAAAGCCTTCCTACCCTCAGGCAGATCAACACTCCTTGGTGTCATCTGCAAACTGTACTACGGGTGCACTCAATCCCCTTGTCCAGATCATCGATAAAGGTATCAAACAGAACTGGCCCCAGTACTGAGCCCTGGGGAACACCACTTGTGATCGGCCACCAGCTGGATTTAACTCCATTCACCACAACTCCTTGAGCCAAGCCATCCAGCCAGTTTTTTTACCCAGCAAGCACATGCCCATGCAAGCCAGAAGCAGCCCGTTTCTCCAGGAGAATGCTGTGGGAAATGGTGTCAAAGGCTTTACTAAAGTCTAGGTAGACAACATCCACAGCCTTTCCCTCATCCACTAAGTGGGTCACTTTGCCATAGAAAGAGATCAGATTAGTCAACTAGGACCCACTTCGCATAAACCCATGCTGACTGGGCCTGATCATCTGGTTGTCCTGTACCTGCCATGTGTACGTCAGGCTGATCTGCTCCACAACCTTCCTCAGCACCAAAGTCAGACTGACAGGCCTGTAGTTCCCCAAATCCTCCTTCTGGACCTTTTTGTAGATGGCTGTCACATTTGCTAACCTCCAGTCATTTGGGACCTCTCTGGTTAGCCAGGACTGCTGATAAATGATGGAAAGTGGCTTGGTGAGTGCTCCCACCAGCTCCCTCAGTACCCTTGGGTATGTGACCCATCCGGTCACATAGATTCATCCGTGTGCAAGTGGTGTAGCAGGTTGCTCATCATTTCCCCTTGAATTATGGGGCTTCATTCTGCTCCCCGTCCCTGTTTTCCAGCTCAGGGGCTGGGTACATGGAGAACCAACTGGTCTTACTATTAAAGACTAAGGCAAAGAAGGCATGAAGTACCTCAGCCTTTTCCTCATCCTTTGTCACTCTGTTCCCCCCACATCCAATGAAGGGTGGAGATTCTCTTTAGTCCTCCTTTTGCTGTTAATATATTTAAAGAAATATTTTAATTATCTTTTACAGCAGTAGCCAGATTAAGTTCTAGTTGGGCTTTGTCCATTCTAATTTTCTGCCTGCATAACCTCATGACATCCATGTAGTCCTTCTGAGTGGCCTGACCCTTCTTCCAAAAGTCATAAGCTCTCCTGTTTTTCCTGAGTTCCAGTCAAAGCACTCTGCTCAGTCAGGTTAGTCTTCTTCCCTGCCAGCTTGTCTTTCGGGGAAGACATCTTTCACCAGTTCCTGTACCTTTAAGATTTCCTTCTTGAAGAATGTCCAGCCTTCCTGCACTCCTTTGCCCTTCAGGACTGCCTCCCAGAGGACTCTGTCAAGCAGGCTCCTAAACAGGCCAAAGTCTGCCCTCTGGAAGTCCAAGGCAGCAGTTCTGCTGAGCCCCCTCACTTCTTCAAGAATAGAAAACTCTTCTCATTTTATGATTGCTATGTCCAAGATGGCCTCCGACCATCACATCACCCACAAGTCTGTCTGTGTTTGCAAAGAGAACTAGCAGTAGCCTTGCTAAACCATTCTGCCCACTTCCCACGGATAGGCTGGCAGAGGGCTACGTTTCTAATTACATCTGATGGAAACGCAAAGTGTACAGAGACATCTGACTAGAGAGACCAGCTGAAGGCAAGGTTATTTTCCATTCCATTTCTATGGATAGGCTAATTGGTGATTGGATACTGCTAAATCACTTACTTGCTTTACTACCCTGGGGCATAAACATCCTTTTCAAAATCTTGCGCCCTGCAATGGGCACCCAACACCACTTCTGAAATGCTCCAGAAAACACTGGTCCCAAGGCAGAAATACAAATGCTCAAGATGCTTTTCTCCACACAGGCAACTGCCTCTCCAAGCTTCAACTTTCTGACAGCTTCATCCCTAAACCGCTACTTCTCCTGCATTTTTGTGGTTGCCAGTGTTGATGATGTTTTCCCAGCAAGGAAACCTAGCATACCTTTTCCCTGACTTCTGCAAACAGCCCTTCTCTGTCTGACAGCAGCAAACAAAAAATTTTAAAATTATGATATCGAAAGCACTCACCAAGCCCATCCTGTTAGCCAAAGTAAACGCCATTCATCAGCACCACTTTGAAAGGCATTCAGAAGAGGAAGGCAGCTCCTTCTAGGCTGCATTGGTTCGGTATGAACTGAACTGACAATATTTCAGCTGTTCAATGGTCTTCTCTATCATGCAAGTAGTCTTTAACTTTATCAAGACAGAGGTTGGGGATGTCTGAGAAGACCTGTAAAACCTTTGCCTTTCTGAAACTCAAAAGTACTTCACATTCCTCTAATTGTTATCAGGTGAAAGACAAGTAATCCATGGCAGAACACCAGCCTTCAATAATCTAGCAGGTAAACATCTCTTGGACTCACATTTTGGAAATTGTTCTACAAAAATATTTCAATTTTACACACCAGAAGCACAGGTGGCTTCTTGAAAACCCATTTAGGTGGCCACATGGTCTAGCAAAGCAATACAACCTGCTAGCTCAAGCCATTTGCTCCACATTTGTTTTAAATAATCTCTGTCTAGCAAGCTCCTGTGCATGGGCTGGTGTAGCAGGATGAACTTGTAGCTTTCCCAGAGTACTACGAGCTCAAAACATGCACTATCTCTTTAGGCAGCAACCTACTCTGGGCCTTCTGCTCAGCAGCAAGGGTGCATCTTCTGCCATCTTGGAAACAACGCTGTTCTCTGCCTTGTCCACCTCTGCCTGCTCTAAAAAAGCCCTGGTAAATTGGTGAGGACAAGGTTGTTCCGGAAGAATGGAGCGCTGATCAGTCAGGGGTAGTATTGCCCGTAAGACGATGAAAGGGTAGGTGCTCAGCTCAGCCGCTCTGCCAGAACGGGTGCTTGTTTCTTTTGCAGAGAGGCAAGAAGGACACCCCGAGGAGGGTCTAAGGTGAAAATGCAACTGGGGGCAGGAGATCCTAACACCTGGCTACCAGGCTCATGATGCAGCCAATGCTAAGCGATTTTGCTCTGTTGTGCATTTCTCGCTCCTCATGAGCTGCCCTGCCTGAGGAACCCCTCATTTTTGGATGGAATTTCTCCCTTCATCCAGAAGATGGCATAATGTGCTTGGTCTCCAGTTGCTCTGGATGTGCTTGTCCGCTTTGTCTTCTAAGCAGAGAAGATGTGGTCTCATCTCGCCTCACACCAAAGCTAACCAAAGGAGGAAGCCCTCCTCTGCCCTGTCGCAACCTGCAAAGACAGGCTTGGCCAGGCTGAGCAGGCAGGGAAGTTAAAAAGAGAAAACTGGAGGAAAGCCAGAGCGTCCTGGACTCTCAACTGCCGAGGCCTCTGGACGTTCGTAATGCTCAGGCAAACAGAAGCCAATCGATGACTGTCTTTGACCTTCCCACCCATGTGGATGTGTCAGGCTCCTCATCAGTAAGAGTGCTTTCACAGCATCGGGACACTGCTTAGGAAACATAATTGGCCAGGATGGGTTGCTATGACATTTCCCAGAAATAGAATTAATTAAGGGGGAAATGAGACTATTCAGTACAAGTCAATCATCAATTCGCTGATATTTCCATAAAAATGAAGCCAAACCAAAAAAACAATGAAAATATATGAAACAGGAACATTGTTGGGGTTTACTTGCAAGTCAAAACAGCAAAACTGTGATGTTGTTAGGAACCATAGTCACCCATCCTTACTTTCCCTCTCCTTCCTAGATTAGCTGGGCTGTTCTCTCTGTAAGTTCATCAGTTTTTCCTGGAAACACCTTGGCATACAGATTTAGAAATCCTAGGTACCCGTTTGAAAAGGCAGGGAAATATCAATGGCGAACTAAAAGAGAGTGACTGCTGAATCACGCTGCTGCAAACAGTAGTGGTTAGCTAGGTGTTGGCTCATAAAAGGTCAAAACGCAGAGCGAGCCAGTGATTGCATTTGGCGTGTGTATTTACAGGCATGGAGACAGCAGGTCCTTAGAGGCTGTCCCTCAGCCAAAGAACAGGAATAAGCAGTGGTTCGTACATTATACACCAAATACGTCAACGCACCTCTCACCTGAAGGAAAAACATACTTCAAGCCGTCAGCTTTAAAATTCAAAAGCTTTGGAGGAAGAGGGATCCCTTTTAGGAAACAGAGCTTACCTCATTGCAACATTGCTGCCGTCGATCACAATGGGTCTCAAGTGATCAGAAGAATCACTGTCATCTTCTCGAAACCACTTTGACCCTGGTGAAGTGCTACATGATCCACGGGCAACAAGTTTCAGCAGGGAAGGTTGAGCCTGGGTCTCCAGAGCTTGAGGTTTGCTCCCCATCCGAATCAGCTCTTTCAGCACATCATCCTCCAGGGCCTCTTGGCCCAGGTTCTCCAGCACTTTGCAGATGTCCTTCTTGCCATAGCCCAGCTTACAGAAAAATTCCAGCTTGCTCTGGTGCACTTCCACCCCTGCCGTAGAAACTTTTCTGGAGCATGGTGGCACTGGCTTGCTAGAAAGTGAACTGGCCAGTGCCATCTTAGCAGGCATTTGCGTTCCTTTACACTCAGTGCTCCTGTCTTCCCAGCCTCATCCAACAGGCATCAGTTTTAGGTGGGGGAAAGACTAGAAAACAAAACGCCAGCGTTAAGGAAGAACGTGCAATCTCAGTTATTTGCCTACTGCACAGCAAAGAGACACTACCCGATCAGCTGCCTTCTCTCTGGAGAGACTGTCCAGTCTTCTCTCAATGTTTCAGCATTTTTCCGGTCCACTCTCATTTATAAAAGCTCTGGAGTGTCCCATGCAGTGTTTGTCTCTCTCCAGGCGTTATGTCAGACAGGTGTCATCCTACTTCGTGAGCCATGCAAGCCTGCCTGTACACAGACGCGCCGTATGCGTAAGTTTGTTCTTCAGACTTACCTCACAGGAAATGATATAAAGGACAGTGTAACTGGGGATTTTTAATTTGCTCAGTGTGGTTTGTGAGCCGCAGATAAAAATCTGTCCAATGTTGTTGGATGAGCTCAGGTGCCATAGCAACTCAACAAGTACAGCACATTTCATCGAGTGATTTTAAGGAAATGTGTTTTTTGCAAAGTAGCTGGGAACTCTGAACTTTTTTTTTTATAGTTTTGTCTTTCCTAGTATGTGTCTGTCTGTGTATACACAGACATACCTTCTGAAATTTTGTCACTCATCTGTTCCAATGATGCCTGACTTACTCTTTTCCTGTTATTCGCGATTTCAGTGAGAGCTTTTATACTCAGAGAAGCAGCTTGTTTTTTGAAATCTGCTGGGGCAGTGGTTGGAAGCAGGCAATCTGAAAAGTGGTTTCGGTTTCACTTAGGTTTATTGTCAAGATAAATTGTTAATTCAGAAATGAGTGTGCAGAAGTAGCAGAAAGCTACTTCAAGCTTCTCCAGAACTGCACTATTTACATTTCTGGTCTACCCAGTAAACGAAGGTGATGGGCAACATATGCAGGCATACCCAGAGCTGCTTCAGCCCGACAAGTGTGACGAGCACGACAGAGACGTGGTGACTACTCATCCATCAAGCCAAATATCTTCAGTCGCTGTTGGCGTATTTGCACAGAAGTTTCTCTCGCCACATCTCTTCAATTACTGGGGCTACCTGAATAAAAGCTCTGACTGATTGTTCCACCCACGTGTAGGATGTAAGGGCGGACCTCTTCCCTTCATTAACTGCGGCCAGCAAATGACGCAGAATTAACTGACCAAACAACTACCTCCATGACGAGCCCAGAGCCACAACCACATTGCACCACTGGCTCCCCCTTCCCAGCTTGCCCTGCACGCCACCAGCCTGTCATCCACTCCCTGCCCAGAGGTGGGCTGCCCCAGCAGCTCAGAAGCCAAAACCATCTGGAGGAAGGCACGGAGTGACTGGAGACAGAGGGACGGGAGAGGAGCCTGAGTGCAGCTCCTCCTCAAGATGTTAAGGACTCCCTGCGCTATGGGGAAGAAACCCACACTGGGTTCAGTTAATTTAAAA